GGGGGGGGGGGGTGGTTAATGAAAGTGTTCCAAAATGCGACATTCATTTCTTGACAACCTAATATAATGGAAGTGTAGAGTATACGGATATTCCTAGTTGACCGACAATTAAATAAACTTTAAGAAAAAAAACTAATTTGAAGATATGGGGCGGCATCAAATTTGAAACATTATGGAGAAAAAAATATTTTAAATAAAGTATTTATTCATTGTTTGTTTTTTGAAGTTAAGCACAAAGCTACACAATGGGTTATCTGTGCTCCGCCCACCACGGGTATCGAAACCCGGTTTGTAGCGTTGTAAATCCGCAGACATGTCGTTGAGCCATTGTGGAAAAGTATGAGAATTCTGCTACTACTAGGAAGATTTCAGTTATTGTTAAATATTTTGCATCATAGACCTATTAATTATATCTTTACATTTGCAAACGCGTAACATAGAGACATAGTTGAAACTACACGGTAGTATTGTGTTATAGTTTTGTGAAATCAACATAGTTGTTGTGCAGCGTGAAAAATAAAATGGACAAAACGTAAGGAAACCTGGAGTAGCTGTATAGAAGCTTTTAGTTTGTTATAAATTTTGCGCAAAGCTACACGAGGGCTATCTGCGCTAGCCGTCCCTAATTTAGCAGTGTAAGACTAGAGGGAAGGCACCTAGTCATAACGACCAACTCTTGGGCTACTCTTTTACCAACTAATAGTAGGATTGACCGTCACATTATAACGCCCCAATGGCAGAAAGGGCGAACACGTTTGGTGGGACCCTCAGATTACGAATCGAGTGCCCTAACCACCTGGCCATGCCGAGCCTAGAAGCTTTTAATTTAATAAAGCTATGTCAGCTTCAGTTAATTTCATTTGTAACAAATCATTACTGTCTAAATTTATTAGGCCAACTATAAGTACCTCTCGACAGGTTTTTGATTGTTTATAGTCTTGTTATTTTGAAACTACCAGGATGTAACAAGCTCTGAACAATGCTAGTTTTTGTTTCACCACCAACTCTCTTTCTCGAACATAAACAAGTTCTTTCTTCCTAAATGTTGAAAGTTTTTAAAGTACAGTGACCTAGCGGTGTATTCGGATAACCGTAGGAATACTACTAGTAGAAGAAGCTTTTAAAACCTTGCTTTATATGGTTAAAATTGTTGGCCAGTCACGTGAATACACAGACATAAGGACTTATCAAGAAACTCTCTCAATAACTTGGCGAAACCGGTAAATTCCAGATTGCTCCCGAAGCGCTGAATTTCCCTGAGAGTTTGTAAAAGTGTTATAAACTATTTGCAATGGTGATATTACTAACCGTGGTATAAATGAATAATATCATCGCCTACTCGAAGTTCTGGCGTAGCCTAGTGGTTAGTCTTCTGGATTATGAATCTGATGGTCTATGGTTCGCATCCCGTTGTCATGAAACCATGCTTCGCACTCTGGGGCCATATGCGTGTTATAAGAGTGACGGTCAACTCCCAATATTCAGTTAGAGTAGCCCATGAGTTTGGTACCCGCTGTTGGCTGGCTGTATTCTCTCTCTTGTCTATCAGTTCAGAGTATAGACTGCTAGCGTGGACAGCCCCTGTAGATTTGCGCGAATATCTAAAATAAAGAAATAATTATTACCTGAAAATAGTCACTGCTGACACAATATTGAAGGAGTCGCAGTGAGCTAAAACATGTGAAAGCAAAAAGAAAAATTTTAAAAACTTGTTGACAATATCTAATATCTGTGTTTCTAAACGCTCTATATAGAAGCATTTTTTTAGGACTTAACTTGAAAACATTAAAGACTATTAATAATAATTTACTTTGTATGAAAAGTGCTGATCTAGATGTTCAGTTTTATGAACACCAAGAGAAATATCTGTAAGCAATACCAATATTATAATACGGCAAAAGATACACAACTTAAGGAGTGGCTTCCAGATAAACTCAAAATATTACTCGCTCTCGTAAGTACTACATGGGAACTGAGTAGAAAAACTGATGATAGGTAAATTGTAGTCACACAAATAAAGAAACCTGGGCAATGAGTTATGTAATTAGATCAATATTCTGTACCCTATCTTCGGGCAATGGGTTATGTAATTACATCAGTATTCTATACCCAATCTTCCGCCAATGAGTTATGTAATTACATCAGTATTCTATACCCTATCTTCGAGCAATGAGTTATGTAATTACATCAGTATTCTGTACTCTATCTTCGGGCAATGAGTTATGTAATTACATCAGTATTCTTTACCCTATCTTCCGCCAATGAGTTATGTAATTACATCAGTATTCTTTACCCTATCTTCCGCCAATGAGTTATGTAATTACATCAGTATTCTATACTCTATCTTCGAGCAATGAGTTATGTAATTACATCAGTATTCTATACCCTACCTTCCGCCAATGAGTTATGTAATTACATCAATATTCTGTACCCTATCTTCCGCCAATGAGTTATGTAATTACATCAATATTCTATACCCTATCTTCGAGCAATGAGTTATGTAATTACATCAATATTCTATACCCTATCTTCTTCTAACTTGTTATTATTGCTATAGCTAATTTTTCAGGAAAAGACTACTTGACTATATTTGGTTTAAGCCTAGAGATATTTATCATGTGATCTCGTGCCTTAGAAGTGTATACATATATGGGTGTGTGTCTGTCATTTGCTTTCAGTCAGTGTCCATTCCTAACTTTTTTGGTTTTGTTTTTGTTACCAGACCTGGTTCGAAAACAGATTGGCTTGTTGGAGACAGGAACAAGGACTTCCCGCTAATGGAAAGCTGGTGAATGAATGATGGAGCTTCGGACAAATAACAAAAGAAAAAACCCCAGAGGGCGACTAGGTCACTTTATGTGAAGATTAATTAACAAAAATAAATTGATAATGTACAAGAGGACAGGGTAGCTTTGTACATATATATATATATATATACTAAAACGAATAATGTATGAAAACACATATAAAGTTTTTACTTAATATGTTATTATTTTTTTATGAAATCCTTGAAGCTCCTTTATCAGTATTTGTCACTCTCATATTAGTGTGAAAATCTCAATGTCTTACCATCATAATTGAAGTAGAATGCTAGGTATTATCGTTTGATGAATGATGAAATAAAATAACTATTTTTGATGACCCCGTGTTTGTCTTCGAACGTTAATAAAACATTCTTATAATTAGCAGTAGACCAGCATAGAACATTCGAAAATCCACTATGTGTTGATTAAACTTCCAAAAGAAACGTTTGCTTTCATAGCGAGAAGAAGAAAGCGACTTAGTTTTACTCCGAAACTAAAATTATATTGTAATACACAAGATGAAAACCATATTTGCATATTAAAAAGGTTGTAACTTTAGTTTTCTAACAGCAACACGGCTGTTAAAATAATGTTTTGAATTTCTATAAAAAAAAAAAAAGATACAGAACCTAATTTACACAACAATAATAATAAATTTGTCTTTGGATCAATGAAACTTTGCTCCATTACTTCTGCCCCCCAGTGGCACAGCGGTATGTCTGCGGACTTACAACGATAGAAACCGGGTCTCGATACCCGTGGTGGGCTTTGTGCTTAACTTAAATAAACAAACACACCAGTGCTTCTCTCTCTCGCACACACGCACAAATTTGGCTCGTAAACACTTTCTATAAAATTCGTGTTAACTTCCGTAGATACTAAATATTACAACTGATTTATCATTCGAAAAGTTCTTGGCTTGGTTATTGTTTAGAATAAAGCTACACGAAGGGCTATCTGGGCTCTGCCCACCACGCGTATCAAAACCCGGTTTTTAGTGTCGTGAGGGGGCTGAAAATTTCTTGATCATTATCCCTTGCGTATATTAACACAACTTATGAATTTCATCGGTCTGCTTCAAAATGTTTTAAATTCGTTGTTTCTAACGTGCATTGAATGTGAATCATAGTTTTTCGTAACCTCACAAGCCCTTCAGTATTTAATATAATATGATTATTAGTTTCAGCTTTACATCACATAACAGCCTATTTTAAAATGATTTTAAACAGTAATGTAGAAATATTGTTAGCCAATAAACTCTTGTGCAAAGTACTATAGTTTGTTACATTTTGCGCAATGCTACATCAGGTCTATCACCCCTAGCCTTCCCTAATTTTGAAGTGGGGGAAGATAATTAGCTAGGTACCATCATCCATAGCCAACTCTTTGACTACTCTTATCAGGCCAAATAGTGGGGTTTGACCGTCACTCTTAAAACGTACTCACGGCCCCAAAGTGCAGAGCGTGATTTTTGTTAGAACAGGACGCGAACCGCGGATTCTCATGTACATAGCTCCTGCATGCTAACCATTGTACTGCTCTCTGCCATCGGGATTATAGTAAAACAAGCAGTAAACTATTACAAAAAGGCTTAATTAACTAACTGAATATTCAATATCAGAAGAATATTGTATAGATTTGAAAGTTGCGCGCCAGTATAGTATTAATACTATATCGTATGTGTGTGCGTGAATATGTTAACACTAGAAGAATATTGCATAAGATTATTATAACCAGATGACTACTGTCTACCACAAAAATACTGTAGTAAAACTGACTGTTGTATATTAGAATAATATTGTTGGTGTTTGTTTTGACCTCATGATCATTAGACGCCAGAATAATATTGTTCAGAATTCTTTTAGTCATCTGGTTATTTCATAAGCGAATAATTCTGTGCAAAATTATTTTAGTCAGATGATTACTTTACACTCAAGAATCCTGTACATTTTTTTTTACAATCAGTTGAACTTTTCACACTATAGCATTGAATTAGAAGTATTTTAACCAGTAGAGTTGTACGATGTAATAATATTGTAATTACTTTAGTCAGTTGACTGTCATTCGCCGGAATAATCTTATTATAATGGAGTTTGCGATGTATACGTCGAGAACTCGGAAACTACCGCACCGATCATCACAAATCGTAACTGGGTAATATTTTTATAGCTGAGCAATGAATAAAACAATTGAAATTTCCACAAAAATGATATGTTTCAAATTTAACCAATAAAAAATTATGAACAAAAAAGTAGTAATTTTCAAATATAAAACAATAAAAAAACTTTAAAAAAATATTTGCTTTTCTTTAGTGAAAATCTCATTAGTGTTGCAACAGAAAAGCAAGGCACTTTCATTGATAACTGCGTCTACTTCAATAAAATCTACTCTGTGATGATAGCTCATTTTTAAACTAAAATTTCAATAAAATATTTTTTCTTTTGGATGGTGATCATTATTGAATGTCAAATATGAGTACATTAATGTAGAACTGTCAGACAATTCCAGAAAAGGCCGCCGGCCCAATAGCCTTCCGCAGGAACTAGCAGTCACCTGCCCGGAGGGCGGGTAACTGCTAGTATTATGTAATTGCTATAGTCAGATGACCGTCGTACCCATAATAATACTGTACAATAAATGTAGTCAGTTGACTGTCATATGCCGGAATAATATTTGACAATTATTTTATTAAATGAGATAAATACGTGTAAAGTAAATGAATTTTTTTCTGAGAACCTTAGGGTGAAAACAACCCCTCGCCTTCGTGGCTCTAAGTCCTATTCATGAAAGGGAGATTGTAACGAAACTTCGCATAATCCGGATAAACTGTGTTTATACTTGTACGGTGGCATGTGGAAATGGAATAAAACTTTTTTTTGTGTGTGAACGTTTAATACCTGGCTGCCAGATGGTAGTGCGGATCTGCCCTTGACGCCATGAACTCGCACGACCAACATACGATTACTTTGTAACCTTATAAGGACAGAGTGGTTAGCTCGCAGATCACCCTTGCGATTATTACGAGCATTTACAAAATTTCCTGCTTCAGCTTTTACGCAACGAAACAACGCCTTCTTGCTATACAAAAGTGACGGATGTTCTCGTGCTTGCAGGGCCAGCCTTAGGTATTTTGCCACTACAGGCAAGGTTTTAATACGCCGTCCACGGCGGAACCCCTGCACCATTATCATCAGTAAATATATATATATATATGACATTATATTAACAAAATGTAACAATTTCTAGCAAACTTTTACTTTAGCAGGCCTATCTGTATCTTACTTCGAAATGTTTTGATTTAGAATAACTCAATTTTCCTTAGTATTTGTCTTTGTTTTTTTAGCTGAAAAGTTGTGAAGTACTTCTATAAGGCCTGGTTTTTTGAATTTAGTAGACATTTGTTTTAAACTTACGTTGATTATTTTACAAAGCACGTATTTATAAACACTTCCAAGTCAGGAAAATACGGTAAGGATGTAATGCGAGCGCGAGAAATCTGATTGTTTGTTTGTTGTTAAGCACAAAACTACTCAATGAGCTATTTGTGCTGTGCCCACGACAGGTATCAAAACCCGGGTTTTAGCGTTATGAGCCTTCAGACTTACCACTAATAACTGGAGGCAAAAGATAATAGATACTATTGAAAAATGAATTAATATATAAACCTTTATTTATTTTATCTTCCTAGGCAGCTGCCTACCTTGCCTATACACTAAAACCGTCCTTGGGCGCTTGTCAACTAGATAACATACGTCAATCGCATACATACAATGACACCAAAGAATCTGCTAAATATCCTCGTCTACAAACACTATAATCCATGGTATTAAACAATAAATAATTTAATGAAAAATGTACATCATTAATTAACCAGTCATATTTAACATCAAATTATATCACGGAACAATACAAATAGCCATCGAAAGGTCATGTTTATTAATATCTTAAGTTAAAGAACAATATTAATACCCATTTTAAAGGCTTATGTTTATTCATGGAATAATGATTCAAAAATTTAAATTTAATAACATATTCGATTAAGAAACGATAAGTAGTCATTCTAAAAAACAATATTTAATAATATCTCATTGTGGTGCGTGTTGGTGGCAACACTAATCTTCTCCTGGCGGGAAACATGGGCGGAACACATCAACAAAATCTTTACACTAGGAAGTTAACCATTAATTCTTGTAAAAACGAAACGATTACAATTAGAACATACACAACAAGAAATTCTGTTATATTTTTATAGTTATTTATTGTTCTGTAAGGTATAACATTAACAGTAATTGTCAGTGAATCGTCTTAACTCATAATCACAGCTATATAGTAATATGAGGTCTGAACTGTAGAATATATTCTTTCATTGTCAAACTTTATATAGTATAACAACATTGTTGTTGTAATAACAGTATTCCCAGTTATGGAAATTATAGCACTGATACTGGGGACATAATTGATTTTTGGCTTTGCTCTTTAATCTCTTTCAATGTTATTTTATTAAAAATATTATTTGTTTGTTGTATTTAATAACAGTATTCCCAGTTATGCAAATTATAGCACTGATATTGGGGACATAATTGATTTTTGGCTTTGCTCTTTAATCTCTTTCAATGTTATTTTATTAAAAATATTATTTGTTTGTTGTATTTAAGTACAAAGCTACACAATGGGCTATCTGTGCTTTTCCAACAACAAGTATCGAAACCCGGTTTTTAGCGTCATAAGTCCGCAGACATACCGCTGAGCCACTGGGGAGCTAAAAATATGTTTGGGAAACTTTCATTTATTGCTTTATAACCAGCTTCCTAGTTCCGTTACCACTTACGCTAAAGACTCCAATTTCTTTGATGATTACTGTTCCTTGGCCTAAATACACTATTAGTAGAAGCTTTTGCCTAATCAATCCAAATATCAAAATAAAACTTAGTCGCCAAATACTGATATTTTCAACACAGTCAAGGAAAGTAGAAAACTTAGAATATATGACTAACAGAAACTCAGAATTTAAAAAGTCACTAACCGTCTAGGAAACAAAATCAGAACATATAGTAAGCAATCCTGCCAAAACAGATAGGATTATATCTGCAACTTATCAAATGACAACACTGATCAGAATACTTTTCGAAACGAAATAAAACGTACAGCCAAGGAGAAACTGACTAGAATACTATATCATACCACAAAACAAATTCATACTAATGCTTATACAAACTAACTCAAAGATATGTGCAATAACAACCTGTAATGCATCTTTAGATATCCCAACAAATTAAATTTGGATACCGTATTTGTCGGTGTACAAGACGATCTTGGATTTTTTTAGCAAATTAAGTG